TGCTGCATCGTTCAAGCCAACTCATACTGAATCACCAGGCAGAATGGAGAATATTCTTTATCAATTGATTGAATCTGTCAGACTCTTAAGGATTTTGTTTGGTTCATTTCCATTTTTTTCTAGTTAGTTACTGTAATGTTTGTCTTGCTATGTGTTTGTACAAAATAACTTTTTATGTTTGAGTTCACTCTCTCCCCATATTAAATATCTTGGATGATAGAATTACATTTACTAGTTTAATACAAATATGAAAATTAAGACAGAGGGGGGGAGGGGAGGAGGGGGGAGAGAGAAAGTCTTCCAGTCTAATGGAGGATTTTTCTTTTCGTGGGTTGAACAGGGGGAAGGGAGGGAGAGAGAGAGAGAGAGAGGGAGAGAGAGAGAGAGAGAGAGAGAGAATATGTGCAAACCTGCCACTGCTGTTTTATGGTCTCATATTCTGACTTTTTGATGGACCTAAGATACTCTCTCTCAGCACATGTTGATTCATATGCATGATATCCCAGTAAAAAGGCCCAAACCTGTCATCATGATCAAGAGTTTCATGAAAATAAGCAAAACTTACAAATATAGCATAATGATGCGTGTAGAATTCCTCACAAACTGCAACACAAACCTCTCTTCGTAATTTGTGCTCGATTCCTCCATAGAATATTCTTTTCCTTAAAGCTTTTGAGTCCATAACTCGCCCTTCAGAGTCCAAGAAAGTGACCCACTGCAATTTCACTGAGTTTTTAGTTCAACTTGAAGAAAGCCGTAGTACTGGGACTTCGAAGTCGGATCACAATCCTTAATAGTGTGTCCAAATGATTAATCTAGTACTAATATTTCTTGTCTACCAAATTGTAAGGTTGGATTGACACTTGCCCCAAGGGAGCAGAGTACAACGCAAACTAGATATTTATGATTGGACGCAAACCATACAAGATATGTAATAAGAAGGAATTTGCATTTATATTTTATATTACAAGGTAGCCCCAGAAGCTCACTATTAGATATTTTTCCAACATGGGTCTATGGCTGAGTTGTTCAAAGAGTTAGGATGAACATTATTAAAATGTATTCCCTTTATGCTGGAAACAAAAAGGAAAGAAGTGACATCATATCTCTTCACAGATAAAATAAAACTGGTGACAACCAAAATGAACAGGAGACGCAAGGAAAAAGCCTAGTGACTGCTACATGGGATTAGGCACACAATTTTGATGCAAGTAACACCAGATTTCAAGGGGTTCTGTGGTGTTCTAGTTGTTCCCACAACTTGGACATCAATATCCAGAATGTGAACGCTGAAAAACAACATCAGGGCTCAAATCCAAAACTATGACAGGAATGGGTGATCTCTTGGCCCCATTCTTTTGCACATAAACAGCCAGAGTAAAAGCAGGCTATTGAATGCTTCAAGAAAGGGAAAGATAATAAGAAATAACAGCAGAATGAAGATCAGTCAACTAATAAAACCAGAGTAAACACTGATATTTGCAAATATGAATTTAAGAAAAGGAACCCTTATCAGGGAAAACATTTCTTACCTCTTCAGGTCCCAGAGGAGGTTGTCGTGGTTTTCCCCACACAAGAGTAAGCTTATCGAACTGCAATAAAAGCAAGAATAAAGATATTGAGGTAATATACAGAACCAGGAAGGAACCATCAGCATCGTTTAAGAAAAGAGAGAGAAAGTGACCTTTACTGATCATTGAGACAAACGAAAAATTAACAATCATGACTGTTAATTTTATAATTTTTTAATTAAAGAATAATATTGATTTTCATTTATCGAACTAATTTCATATATA